CCCCAAAACCCCAAAACCCCAAAACCCCAAAACCCCAAAACCCCAAAACCCCTGAAGTCTTAAGAATATTGAATCCCAAGATGGTCTTATTTTCTTTAAAACAGCTGAAATCCTGCTAATACTTCTAATAAATCTATTAAGCATCCATAAGTTATTGGTTTATTGAGTAAAATGCACAAACTCCTGACCCTCGGCTTCTAAGTCCTTTGTGAAGTGTTAGCAAGATTGGCAGATTTTGCTCTGGCCAGCCTCTGTTTATGCTTATAGATCCTTTCAAGTGTAGCATTATCTAGGATACTTAGGCATGGACGTTTGAGTCTTGTCCTGTGAAAACCTCTCTTGTGGATCTTCAAGCTTGGCTGAAGCTCAGCCAAGCTTGAAGAATGCCCATTGATGGTTTTGTTGTGGCAATCGTCAAAGATTGACTCCTGAGATGCCTCTAAGTAGCCACTGCTGGCTTGTGCAAGGAAGTTGAATTTATTGGAGAGGTTTTTAAGATTACGCCTGTTCTCATTATCGTCTTTCCTTGACACTGTGACTTCCTAAAAATTTAGTATTATTTTACCTTATTTGGAGCAATAGAACGTCCTTGATTTCTTTTGAACCCTGTAGATCTTATTCTTTAGAGTCTTTAGCAATTTTTGAGTTATAGAAAATATTGGATGGACAATAATGGAAAAAGTTTTACAAAGGTATTTTCTCTTGATATTTTAGCTAAGATTCTAAAAATATAGTCCTCTTTAATATTGCAGTGAACTTGTCCCTCTTTACATAATCAGACATACTTTGAGTTTCTTCAGTGCATAATTCTTCATTCGAAGCTTTGCTTTCAAACTCAAGTTGCCTTGAGAGCACAACTTAGGATGAACCGAAACCATGTGCGACTCTGGTGAAGATCCTAGGATGCTTTTTGAAGGGAGATCTACTTGACGCTTTCTATTAATGATTAGTTCACAATAACAAGTAAATTGGGAACCTCAGGCCAAACTTTAATTCATGGACAAAGGAGCACTGGATGATTAAGGAGTGGCATACATAAGCAAGGATTTGAGAATTAGGAATACACCTGCAGAGGGAAGGATTAACCAGAAGGAGAGATTTTAAGAAATGTTATGAGAAAGTGAACAAAGATGTAGAGAATTGAATGCGCCATATAAAAGTGGGCTTACCAGACTTTTGTTTTTCTTGGAATTTTTGAAAGTCTTCATTTTGTTTTTCGCTTCTGTTTTATGGATTTGGAGGAGGGAAAGAACGAATAATTTAGATGATTTTTAGAGTCCTGTTTTGGGTCATTTTGGTAAGGAGAAATAATCTCAATGCTAGAATAAGTTTGGTAAAGGTTTGTTGCTAAAAATTTATTTTTTCTTTGTAACCCGGATTCCTTCTACTGAGTTGTTTAGTTCTTGATTGATATTTTTGTAGCTAAGTTCTCTATTTCCATAACTGAAACTTCCTAGATCATGTTACAACTCTAAATTACTTTGATGCTTTTGCATTTCTATAAATTCTTATCAAATTAATTTCAATTTAAATTCATTAATAGGGGTTTTGGGGTTTTGGGGTTTTGGGGTTTTGGGG